GGAGACAGGGACAGTGGTGGCGAAGGAGACTCCCAAGTCCGGGATGAAAAGGAGGAAATTCCATTGATATGGCGTCCAATGCAAGGCAAGGTCCTCAAACAGACACCAAATGCCCAAGTCCAGCAAGGATTCGATCATTGAGGTGAAGGGCGCCTGAGCAACCGCAACGACCGGACTGAACATCTGCGTTGGAGACACCGAAGGAACCAAAGTCTCACAAGCCGTTGACCCAAATTGGAAGGTGCGCGTGCCAATGGAAACTCCTTGAATGGCTAAAGTCCACATGGGTTGGATGGAAGCAGCCTCACGAATGCTAGTGGCAAGGTCCAAGGTCTGAGAGGACCCAACCAAAACGAAGTGGTAGAGGAGCTCTTTGGGGCCCGCAAAAGCATGGGCAATGGCTTTAGCAATGGACATGTCTGGGCAACACCAAATGGCATGCGCATGATGCTGAGGTGGGATGTCAAAAATCACCCTATAGTCACCGAGCGGAGAAGCCTGCTCAACCCTTGACAAGAGGCTCCCAGCATGGCTGATTCTGGTCATATGGACATGGTTTCCCACCTGAGACACAACGGAATTGGATGCAGTGAGTCGTTCAGTCCAACATTTGCGAAGCATGGCATGGATGTCGAAATGGTCCGGTAGGACAGCAATGAACCCCATGATGATCGGCAAAAGAGCATGGGGGACAGCTATCGCGTTGCCAAGGCTCTTGAATGCCTCCGGGATCTTGGCTGAGAGGACGCAATCATCCGTGGCTCCATGCATAGACACAAACCTGGCCGGATCGAAAAACGCGAAACCTCCCGAAGTGATTTGGAGGGCAGCGAAAGCACCCTTAGTGGCCAAATGCTGACGATCGAGGTTGTGCTGTTGGGAGTAGGACGCACAAAGGGTTGGCATCGGCTCCTTGTCTGATGGGATCCTGGCAAGCAAGACCTGGTTCTGCGAAGGATTGGGTCCAAGACCCTTCTTCTTGGCAGCAGGGAGAAAATCCAAGTCCCCATAAAAACGCTTCTCAGAGTTCGAGAGGAGGAGTTGTCGTTGCCATGTTGGTGGAATGACAAACACAAAATCTTCCTCTTGCCAGCTGTGTCTCGGATGGATGTTGGGTGTGATGGGAGCCCCAATGAACTTAGATTCAACATCGGCCCTAACCCAAGATGCAAGCCATCGATTCCGCGTCTGCGGAGAAAGCTGATGAAGCGAAGTGACCTGCTTCCAAACGAGTCTAAATCCTAGCTGGCGAGCTACAAAGAGAAGCACTTCAAAATGTGGGTGCTGAGTAATCTCGTCTGCGCACTCGGCAGCCAAGATGACAAACTGTGCCTTAAAGGCGAACAGTAGTCCCGAGAGGAATGCCCACCCATTGTCCGATGACAAGCCTGTCTTTCTGCCACCCTTTGACCAGGGTTGACATGGAGGGCTCATTGTACCGATCACGTTCGTCTGCGCCTGGCAAGCGAAGAGGGTGGTATTGTCTGCCACCGAACCAGCAACTCCAATGTCATCAGCCTGAAGCCAGGACTGCGTAGGTCGAAGCGGAGCTTGCAAGGCTTTGGCTTGGTGGTTCACTTCCCACAGAAACATCACATCTGGGTCGGCATCAATAGCCACATGCTGACTGAAGAGCACCGATGTGTCTTGCTTAGACAACCATTTCGCTGCAAATTCCCATCCGCCAAACGAACCAGCAAATAGGTGATAAGCAGTCCATGCGGTATCCTCGATGTGGTCAGGTCGGTACATGATGACAGCTTCCGGGGCAAAGGAAAGCGACTTGGATTCGGAGGAGTGCACCAAAACTCCAGCACATGTAATCGTCACCCCAACACAAAGGTTGATGGATCGGGCCTCCAGATTTGGGATATGTAGCTGGCACGGTACACCAGCTCCAAGGTCCTTCTGAAAACCCCTTCCAGGGACAAATTGCAGCAAATTGACCTTCAAGGAAGCACAATCGATCTCCACAACTTCGCCGCAAACCACCGAGATGCCCTCAAGGCAAAGGCAGTGAGATGGTGAGCTCACAGCCTTGAGCAGCTCTCGAAGCTTGGAGGCGAAGGGTTCAGCAACATCAGTGGCCATCATGGACTCAAACATGGCTGCAGCGCGGCAAGGAATCACAAGATCGTCGAGCCTATTGTATGGCGCGGATCCTGTGCGGAGCCGCTTGTGGACGCCCCGTCTGATGCGGGGAGCACCAACCCGAGGCCCTGGAGGGCCTGTCCCCCACGAACCCCTAGGCCTTTGAGCCAGAGGGGCTCCTCCCACTATTATATACATATATGTTCACGTAGCATCAACTTCATGACGTCAGTGCCAGCGAACGTTAACATGCCCCACCCCACCCCACCCCACCCCCATCCCCAACATAGCATCAACTGAAAAACAAAAACGTGAAGACTAGACGACGAGTGGCCCGAAAGCATTTTTCATCACGTAGGAAGTCAGAGTGCGAGTTCTCTGTTAAGTGTGCAGTGTGAAGTGTTAAGTCGAGTGAGTTGAGGTAGTGTGTGGGTTTCTGTGCGTGTATCTATGTCCGTGTGTATATGAGTCTGCGTATGTGTGTGTGTGTTCGAGTAAGTTGAGGCAGTGCGTGGGTCTCTGTGTGTGATGTGTGTGTGTGTATGAGTCCCTGTCTGTGTGTGTATGTCCATGTCTGCTGCTGGTGAAGGTCTTCACTGTACATATAGTGAACGAATTAGCGCGCAGGCCTCCCAAACCCCCCACCGGCGGCCAAGCGGTGACTGCCCAGCTCATCGTCGTGAGCATTTGGGCTGCTGGTAAGGGGAGAAGCAGCGTGCACGCCTCCAGGAAATCTCACTGAAAAGAGCAAGCTGGAATGAAGCGTACTAAAGTTGTACTACAAAGTCGCCAGTTCTCATCTTCCAGCTCCACAGATTGCTCCGCGTACTAAAGTTCTACTACCAGGTCGCCAGTTGTCATCTTCCAACTCACCAGATACTCCGCGTACTCAAGTTGTACCAAGTCGCCAGTTCTCATCTTCCAGCTCCCCGGATACTCCGCGTACTAAAATTGTACTACCAAGTCGCCAGTTCTCATCTTCCAGCTCCCCGGATACTCCGTGTACTAAAGTTCTACTACCAGGTCGCCAGTTCTCATCTTCCAACTCGCCAGATACTCCGCGTACTCAAGTTGTACTACCAAGTCGCCAGTTCTCATCTTCCAGCTCCCCGGATACTCCGCGTACTAAAGTTGTACTACCAAGTCATTGTACTACCAAGTCACCAGTTCTCATCTGGCCACTCCCCAGATACTCCGCGTACTAGAGTTGTACTACCAAGTCGCCAGTTCTCATCTTCCAGCTCCCCAGCTACTCCGCGGACTACAGTTGTACTACAAAGTCGCCAGTGCTCATCTTCCAGCTCCCCAGATACTCCGCGTACTCAAGTTGTACTACCAAGTCGCCAGTTCTCATCTTCCCACTCCCCAGCTACTCCGCGTACTAAAGTTGTACTACCAAGTCGCCAGTTCTCATCTTCCAGCTCCCCAGCTACTCCGCGTACTAAAGTTGTACTACAAAGTCGCCAGTTCTCAGCTTCCAGCTCCACAGCTTGCTCCGCGTGCTAAAGTTGTACTAGAAACTCGCCAGTTCTCAGCTTCCAGCTCCACAGCTACTCCGCGTACTAAAGTTCTACTACAAAGTCGCCAGTTCTCAGCTTCCAGCTCCACAGATTCCTCCGCGTACTAAAGTTGTACTACAAAGTCGCCAGTTCTCAGCTTCCAGCTCCCCAACTCTCCGCGTACTACAGTTGTACTACAAAGTCGCCAGTTCTCATCTTCCAGCTCCCCAGCTAGTCCGCGTACTAAAGTTGTACTACAAAGTCACCAGTTCTCATCTTCCAACTCCCCAGCTACTCCGCGTACTACAGTTGTACTACAGAGTCGCCAGTTCTCATCTTCCCACTCCCCAGCTACTCCGCGTACTAACGTTGTACTACCAAGTCGCCAGTTCTCATCTTCCAGCTCCCCGGCTACTCCGCGCACTAAAGTCGTACTACAAAGTCGCCAGTTCTCAGCTTCCAGCTCCACAGATTGCTCAGCGTACTAAAGTTTATACTAGAAAGGCACAATCTCCGCAGAGGGTTGCGCGGTACTTTCACAAATCGCGCTCTCGCCTGCATTTCGCGCACTCGACACGCACGATCTCCGCAGAGGGTTGCGCGGTAATTTCACAAATCGCGCTCTCGCCTGCATTTCGCGCACTCAACACACACGATCTCCGCAGAGGGTTGCGCGGTAATTTCACAAATCGCGCTCTCGCCTGCATTTCGCGCACTCGACACGCAGAGGGTCGCGCGCACACCGGGCGAATCGCACTCTCGCCTGCATTTCGCGCACTCGACACGCACGATCTCCGCAGAGGGTTGCGCGCGCAGCCGGCAAATCGCGCTCTCGCCTGCATTTCGCGCACTCGACACGCACGATCTCCGCAGAGGGTTGCATTTTCGGTTGACGCTGTTCGTCCCACCCTCTGCCTTTAAGAGAGAATTTATAAAGTGGGGAAATGTTTTCATTAGGACATCTCCCGTGCTAGTTTTCCATGCTAGTTTTCCATGTTCACTCATCACACTTGCATATACTCATTGCATGCTTGCATGCTCATCATTAGACTTGCATACTTTGACACTTGCATACTTCGCACTTGGATGCTTTCGCTCTTCCAGTGTGTGTGTGTGTGTAAGTGTAAGTGTCGAAGTGTCAGTGTCGAAGTGTCAGTGTTCAAAGGATTTTCCGGAAGAACCCTTCGCAATGCTTTCGGGAAAAAACTGGCGGCGTTCTATCAGCCGCCAGCCGGCCCAGACGCTGCGTGTATGCACCCTTATTCTATGGCCGATTAGGTCGTGGTTAGTTTGGGATGTTGAGTGTAGCTCACATTGACTTACAATCAACATTTGTACATGTGCACCCTCATCACAATAGAGTTTCAGTTCGCAACTGCAACTCTGTATCAAAAACCTTTGTTTCTATATATGCAAAATAACATAAACACCACGGCGTGCTTGTACCTGACCTTCCCTTTTTCAGCCACCCACCTTCTGCCGCCCCACCGACACGCGGTGCTCAGCCGCTGCGGAGGTAGCTCGGTGGGGCCGCTGCCGCCCAATTGGCGTCCCTCCTCCCGAGGGCAGATCGTCTCCCGGGCGGCGGCCGCGGTGGCTCGGTCAGTGGCCACTGACGGTCGACGAGTGCGGAGGAATCACTGGGTGAACTTCAAAGAATAGGTGCCCAAAGTTGCAGATTGTTCTTTGACATTTGGAATATTCGGTATATAATATATATAACATTAATTATGTCATAGATTATGTTTTTGTTGATGTTTTTGGGTCAATTGTTTGATTGCCCCTCGTGGATCCAATGAATTCCAATGGCATGTGATTTCTTCAACGAGACGGCCCCTGAACCCAACGACCGACCGACGACCTCCGAGGCCTTTTGGGGCATCACGCTGGAAGACGGCGGTTCCGACCTGGGAGATGACCAGGTCGTGTGATTCGTGCGATTGGACGCCGGCGAAACGGCCAAACTCTCCGAAACCAAGAAAGTAGCGCCTCTGAATGTCTCAGAATGGCCAAGGCTTTGTTTGGACTTCGCGCTGTTGATCATGGATGCTATTCTTGCTTGGAACAAGTGGGGGGATTGGTTGTTCATCGTGTTGTAGCTCCAGATCATGACAACTTGGTGAGTAACCTTAGATGCCTTACCTTCGCTTACCTTGTTATGCTTCTGTACATGGTTCACTACCGCGTAAGGAGGGCGAGCTTGGCTAATTCAAATTCATCAATTGATCACATCATCGATGGTCAACCATATTGAACATTTTTGGGTGGTCTTCAGGACCCGAGGTGGAAAAAGGTTAAACCTGATCAATCTTCAATTTTCCATGTTCTTGGCGGTGCACGAGTTTTCTCGTTTTCTCCGTGTGGTTGTGTTGCTGCGAGGAGTATTCCTCACAGCACTTCTACAAGCACAAGCACAAGCAGCAGCCACAAAGAGAGGCGCCCTTGGCTGCTCTACATGTCCGGTACCCCAACCCTGCTCTCCGTGGCACCCGCTCCGCCCGCTCGCTCGGGGCCGCCGCCGACTCCGTGCCGACTCGACCAAGGCAGCCACGTCCGTGCCGTTGGCCGACCTCAAAGAGGCGGGAGCGTGGCATGGTGTTTTTTTTGGAGTGGGTGATGGGAACCAAGCCAGATAACGGATGAGTTGGGAAGATGAGATGAGTGCGAAGTGAGTTTGATTTTTTCATAGTTCTTTAATGTTATTTGACCGGGATTGGCATCGAAAGGACTCAGCCTATGGGGCATATAATGCGGCATTTTAATGCATGTCATTGAGGCGACAGCCCAAGTCAGTTTCAACTTTTGGAGACACGACATAGACAGCCATCCAGAATTCATGTTTGAATTCCATCGCTCCAGCATTATGTTTGGTTTTTCTTCCGTTATGTTTCACTCTACAGGACAGGTCAGTCTTCGAGCCTCAGCTCAGAACCTCAACATCTTAGGCGGGGAAAGAACACCGAAAGGAAACCAAAACCTCCTAAAACACTTCGACAGGTCGACCCTGTGCCATCTTCGTCCGCTTGACTTCCAACAATCTGACCTGCTAGGCCTGTGCCATCTTCGAGCGCTTCGCACAGGTGGACTCGGAGGCGTGCAGAGTGGGTGAAAGCGGGCGGACATCGAGGTGTTGTTTTGGTTGCGGAGGTTAGGAGGAGTGTTGCAGTAGGAGGATTGTTAGGAGGATGTTGCGGATATCAGACAGGGAAGAGGACTCACCAAGGGCTGACGAATGTATAGTCTGGTTGTCAGTGAAGCCCAAAAGGGCTTTGTAAGCTTGCTGCTGAACCCCCTCCACCATGTTGCTGTGGAACTATGTGATTTGCCATGTGTCTTTTCTTGATGTTTGGCTGTGCGCGCTGGCATATGATAGACCCACAGATTCACTGGAACTTGCTAAGACTTGCTACCATCTACTACCTTTGTCGGATTCACTGAAGCCTGAAAGATGACCATCCTCAACCTGAATTCGGCTTCGTTGGCCCGGGACCCGGCTGTTTCTCCCCTGCGGCTCCCGGCTCTCCTTAAAGAGATGGCTCCACGGCTCGACGGTCCTGCCTCTGGGCCGATAGGATATCACGAACGCCAGCATGGACATGCGAGACTTCGAGTGGCTCGATGGAGGATGGAGTGGATCGAGCGACCGGTGGACCTGGATCGGTCCCTATCCGATTTTCCGGAGGCGGACGCGAAACAAACCAAGGGTTTGGAGGGGCGCCAAACCCCTGCATTATAGAGGGTTCGAATGCTGCTATGCAGGGTCCCCTGCTATAGAACAGTTTGTATCAGTTTGTACAGATGACAAACCCCATGTTTTTCGCTTCGTCGGTGAGGTCGGGTGAGGTCAGTCCGGAGAAGGGATGAAACTGATCTTAAAACTTGAAAGAACGGTTTGATGTCATCTCCTTTTCACATGGGCATTTTTTCGAGTTCTGAGCGAACTGGGTCTGGGTTCTGACAGATTCAGGTCCGGTCAGTCCAGATGCTCCAAGTGGTTGCACCAAGCTTCAAGTTTGAACACCTGTGACAGGTGTCCCATTTGAGCCGTTGACCTCAGAAGTCGGAGTCGTCTTCGCGGATGGCGAAGTCCCATGACAGCCCAAGCAGTCCATGCGCCGTGCGAAAACAGAAATCAATGCCATCCAATGGAACCCAGATGAACCCGGGTAGCCAAACAGATCCGGTCCTAGCTGCTACATGGCGCACATGAAATGTTTGGGACTCACCCAAGTGACATCCGACCTTGTCCCTCTTTCCCTTTCGGAGGCCGAAGAATACCCCGGAGAGCGCAGCTCCGCCGGAGCCGCCCAGGTCACTTCTGTGCCACATCACCGGAGTGCAGAATGCCCCTTGGAGTGAACAGCAGACTGAATCAACAGACAATGCTGTCGTGCAATCTTGTGCATTTTTGATGTCTCTTTTTGTGACTCGGTTTGCTCAGTTTGCAAACAAAAAGCATAGCATAGGTGAGAACAGCAGAACTGAACAGGACTCTTGTTGGTTAGCCTGTTTATAATTCTGCCTTCCAATGCCTGACCTTGTTGCAGACTGAGCTAGTATATGTTTAAAAATTATGTTTTAGTTATTGACTGGTGTAAGAAAGATGCAGCAGGCTGCATGTGTATATAATGTGTGTGTACTCTCGAACTCAAAACTCGAGACCAGAGAGCAGCAAGTGATGGCTCACTGTGACGTCCAAACCGGGGGACCCCCAACGACCCGAGTATTTTGACCACCGAACATGAAGAAAAGCAAAGAAACATAGACAGACTATACTCCGGGGGGCTTGGTACTCCGGGTTTTGACCCAGACAAGCTTCATGTCAGACATGAAAGAAACAAGCTTCATTATCTCCCTAACACATCACCCCTATACTGATCTTTGGGAGTTTGGAGGATACCAAAAGAAGACACGAACGCCGAACCCAACAAGCGACGAGGTGAAGGAGCTGGAGCAAGAGTTTGTGAAGCAAGCTTTCTATGCTGCTGACAGGGATCCTTGGGACGCCTTCAGTTGTTTTGCTGCATCCTGGAGGAAGCGTCCAAAGACATTAATATATATAATATTATATATATATTATATTATATTATATATATAATGTATATTATATATATATATTCCAAGACCGCGACCGGCTTTCTGTAGCGTAAAATCCTTAGTTGGTTCGGTAAATCATGTTATTTATATATTTTAATGGTGGTTGGAAGTCGACAGTCTTATATATATGTAGAATGAAAACTCTATCGTTCAGATGTTGTGGTGCAAGTTCCGCCTTCTGGCTTCAAAAGCTAAATTTCTTGCCTTGTATCGGACTTCTGTTTCCCAAATCCCACATGTTTGCCCGAACGGCCTGTCGCTCTTGGGTTGGTGGCCATCGCTCTTAGGTTGGAGGCCATCGCTCTTAGGTTGGAGGCCATCGCTCTTAGGTTGGAGGCCATCGCTCTTGGGTTGGAGGCCATTCCTCTTAGGTTGGAGGCCATCGCTCTTGGGTTGGAGGCCATCGCTCTTAGGTTGGAGGCCATCGCTCTTGGGTTGGAGGCCATCGCTCTTGGGTTGGAGGCCATCGCTCTTGGGTTGGAGGCCATCGCTCTTAGGTTGGAGGCCATCGCTCTCAGGTTGGAGGCCATCGCTCTTGGGTTGGAGGCCATTCCTCTTAGGTTGGAGGCCATCGCTCTTGGGTTGGAGGCCATCGCTCTTAGGTTGGAGGCCATCGCTCTTGGGTTGGAGGCCATCGCTCTTGGGTTGGAGGCCATCGCTCTTGGGTTGGAGGCCATCGCTCTTAGGTTGGAGGCCATCGCTCTTGGGTTGGAGGCCATCGCTCTTGCGGCTCTTGGGTTGGAGGCCATCGCTCTTAGGTTGGAGGCCATTGCGATTAGGTTCCTTAAAGTCTGCACCGTGCACCTTCACCGACTGCTACCCGAGGACCACACGGGGGACATTGATATTTTTGAGTTCGTCACCTGGCCACTCGGCGTGAAAACGAAAGAGATCACTGTGGTTTTGCATGGGAAAAGAGAGAGGGATAAAGGCACTTGCGGACGGTTTTGGTCTTTGGTTGTCGTGGTGTTATCTTTAAGGTATATTTGATGCCTGGAGTTTGATTGAGGTTGATGGATGCACTTCAGTTCCCAGATGTTTGTTGAACAAAGAGCATGTGATGTCTACAGGGTAGTTTGTATTGTGGATTCAGAAGGCCACGAAGCGACTGGGAGTGTGGAGGTACCCTGACCATGAATTTCATCAGCAAACGACTTTAGCCTGTCGATGGCCAGAAATGTGGTTTGTTGGTCGGCAGTGACAATTCAACATGGCACAACCATATATTTATAATCAATAGAAATAATACATAATAAATCACCACAAAATCTGATGGTATCCATGCCCAAACATAAGTTGACATGATCACAATCAACTCCCAGAAGCTCCGAATCATGTTGGCGGCATGCAAGATGATGTCTCATGTCATCCAATCTCATCAATTTCATCACCCACACAGAAAGCATGTGCCCCATACTTGTATTTTCTACACTCACCATATATACCTCATCCAATCAACCTTCTCGGACACCGCACACACACACACACCTTCGACCGGAATCTACTCCGCGGTCGGTGGCGCGGAGACCAGTGGCGAGGTACTCGGCCTTTAGCTTCAGCGAGGCCGTGTGTGTGAACAAGTTCGCGCGCGAGACCAGGGATGTGGCGCGGAAGCACGGCATGAGCATCCTCAACATCGAACGTTTCGCGGCTGCGCTTCGGGTGGAGTGCGGAGCCGGTTCCGCCGACTGTTGCTGAGCGGTTCAGTGGAGCGATGGATGGAGGTTGGACTTTGGGTGTTTGAGTTGGAGTCTGAGTTGGGTCTGAATGTGTCTTGATGGATGAAGTCCTGGAGGTTGCAAGAAGTCCTGGACTATCATGGATCTTTGTTGATAAAAAAATCTTGTGCACCATGACATGGTGCTTCGGACGAGACTTCTAAAATGTTCTTCCTTTTGGACACCACTGGTTTAGTCGGTGATTTTTCGCAGATCGCATGTCCATTCCATTCAGGGACACTCAGGGGTGGGACACAAAAGCGGTTTTCCACGGCTGAAGATGGCCCAACAACAGGCTGGCGCCATGCTTTTTCTTTCAACTTGCACCCCTGTCAGGCCCACATGGATGGATACATGCTTTTTTTCTAGGGTTTCAGTTGTACCTTCTCAGAAGGTACGACTATATAACAGTGTCTCCAATCACCTTCTGAGAGGTACGACTGGATCCCTAGGGGTTATGATCTTTTATGTGTAGTTTGGGGAGGCACCATTATGATGTCCGGGCGCCAATCAACCTTGTGAGCCGACCATATTCCCGGACGACGGATCATATTCCCGGATTTTCGATCTCTCAAACACCAACGTGCAAAATGCGTTGATCCTTTTGAGTCCACCAGATCGACGAGGTAGGTCGTTTGTCAGACACTTCCCGGAACGCCCTTCGAGCCATCCTCTAAGGCTACAAGAAGTCCTTTGACCGAGCCATGGAACCAATTCAGCAGCCCAGGTGGTACAGGTTCCTGTATGGCTTTCAACCAGGTTCAAGGCGAGGAGAGAACTGCGGGGGGGGTGTTTGTTAAGTGAAAAGAGTTGACCTCTTGGTGTTGCACGATGAAGTACGGAGTGCGTTTGGCATCAAACATAAGAAATCATGTTGCAAGAATCAGCCAAACGTTCAGAGGAGCAAGGAGGCTCCAAAAGCCAAAGGCAAAGAGTTGATTTGTCACCCAACTTGGAGATTGTGTCAGTATTCGAGAGTAGTAATTGAGCGTAGCTGTCTTGAGAGTAGAAGGGTCTTGATGGACAAAAACATGTTAAAGTTATGTTCATCTAGTTTCTATTTCTATCTCTTGCAGTAGCTGTTTTCGGACTAAATCAGGTGTATGATTATCTGTCAGCCACGCGTGCAAACACTAGATGGATCTAGGTGGGTAGAGTATTTCACGCAGGATTTCACGAATGAAGAGGCATTGAATAGGTGTGACATGGTGTGACCACTGCTGAGAGCACCTCCAAGTTCCAGCCAGGGAACGCGATTTGTTTGTGTTGATGAAGCAAACGGGTACTGTGGTGTGCATGGATCTAGCAAAGCGCCAGCTAGAGTGGCCAATGCGAAATGGACCAAAACGGAATGAATCAACATTTGGATGTGTTTTTTGATCCACCAATTAGAACCATCCTGCCTGGCAAAGCAATGGAGCATAGGTTGGAGATGACATTAAAAACAAAAAAAACGTATCGTCACCGGTTGCTTTACCATGAACGGCTATGTTTGAATCCAAAAAATATCCTTTGTTGCATGTCCTCAGGAAAATGGATTGGACAACCTTTGCTTTCAATAGTGTTACTCTGATTCGGCCCAGCTCAATCCGGTTTCAGACCCAGCCGCCTGGGGTGTGATCGTCTGTGACCCGATCAACAGCTGTATACCGTTCGCACTTCCTAGTACTTCCTGTCCGGGTGTTTTGCCTGGAGACCTGTTTTTCCTTTGGAGGGGTAGGGGAGTTGAACGCATGGACACCCAGACAGGATGGTCCTGGTATACTGTGTATGTTATGTGGCCTTGAAAATGGTCTATTATCTGCCTTCTCACGAGCTGTTTGTGGTCATTATCTTGAGGTTTCTCCCTTTTTTCGTATTCACCTTACATGGGGCGCCCTCTCGACTCTCCACTGAGGATATGACCTCAACAGCAATGGCGTCATCGAGTTTGTCGGCCCAAACGAAACACAGAGGGAAAACCGGAAAACCGCGAGCGAGGGACACGAGCGAGGGACACGCTCCGGGCGGATCCATTTGGGGTTGGGTTGAAATACATGTTCTTTTGAAGAAGACTGGACAATTCAACCCAACAGCATTTAACACTGTGCAAGATTTTAGGGGTGAAATCAGTGAAATCCAACCCAAACTGTTGGATTGGAGAATTCCCCTGCCTTTTCCAGCCAATGTCAATCTTGAAATATCCCAATTCATGGTGAGGAGCATCCCATACATTTCCAGACCGGGGTATATCTACTTCAGTGAAGTGAGGAAAGTAAGGAAGCTGCAGCTGGATCTTTCGGCAACGACAAAAGGGTTCGTTTGAGCCACCTCCGAAACCACAAAAGGGAGTGACCATTTGTACATCTCGAGATATATTCCGTACAGGTATGTACAGGTCCAGTACAGGTATGTACTGGTCCAAATAACCAATGCACAATGATGTAAAACGATGGTAAACACCCAAGGGAGCACCGGCACTCCGTTGAAGCAATGGGGGTCGGAAGACTGGATGGTCCAGGGTCACCGGATGCAGCTGAGCTTTTCCTGAAGAGGTCCAGGTGGAGTGAGTCGGTTCATTAAGGTAGACCAGTGATGAGTGATGAATCACACACACCTTTTGCAGAACGGTTTTACAACAGTTTTACGTTTTACATGTTCATTGTTGTTGTTGTTGCTGTTGTTGCTGTTGCTGCTGCTGCTGCTGGTGTTGTTGTTGCTGTTGCTGCTGCTGGTGTTGTTGTTGTTGTTGCTGTTGTTGCTGTTGCTGTTGCTGCTGCTGCTGCTGGTGTTGTTGTTGTTGCTGTTGTTGTTTTGTGTGTGTTCTATGATATAACCAACAGTCTACATCTCTGAGGTCGAAGACAGACAGGTGATGTTGTTTGCGTTGTGAAAGCTGACTTGGATTGCGATCGTCTGGCTAGAAATCATGCGTGATGTTAAAAATAGTATCAATTAAGTTTATTTCAGTTGAAACGGCCATGACTCCATGAGATTTTGATACCTTCTTTATCAGTGTCACATCAAAACATATTTAATGCGACCTTTCTGTTTGTTGTTCTCTTTTGTTCGCATGCTGCTGATGTAAGAAATATCCGTTTCTTTTTGTCGAAAAGGTGTAAGTCGTTGACATCACCTGATGGGCGTGTGCAAATCATGTGAGATCCACGGCATATTACATATTCGACAGCACCCAAAACAGCCAGGAGGAATCTCATCAACTAACACCGTTCTGTGGAGAAGAAACATACAGATCAAGTTTAGGTTGTCTCAGAAAACAGATCCTCACAGTGGTCCTCACCTATGATTTGATTTGGCCATATTTTTATGGTGTACATATGGTACGCTATAGCTACTATATGTACGGTTTCGATACCCGGAGTTGATGGTGTGTTTTTTCCATCGGCCAGAGCGAGTTCAAGAACATCATTGGGGACCTTCTGAAGATCCCACCGGGTCTTGAGACACATGGATCGACATGGATCGAGAGTTCGAGAGGTTGTTTGGTTGTTGCGGAACGTTTGAGGTGTCTTTGGTCCAAACACCTGGTTGCATGTTTTTTCTTGTGCTTGGCAAATGATCTAGAAGAAAGCAAGGATCATGGAACGACTAAGAAAACTTGTTTGTTGGATCAAAAGACAAAGTTTGAATGTTGGGGATGAGTTCTTTGGTCGAGAAGGGGGCACACAGAAGTGCGGACTGAATCCTACAGGCATCTACAGGCAATAAGCAATTGAACTGGCCAGAAGTCAGCAAGTTTTGTCTTCTTATGGTGCATCATCAGGGAGATGCCAAGCCGACAGTCTTTTTGAATATGACAGAATATGATTTATATACAATATCAGGCAAGCAGAGACCATCAAAGACCCATTTCCCTTTTGCAAATGCCACTGAGCTGCTGGGGAAAGGACTGAGTCCTTTGGTTTTATGGCAATTTGTTTGATGGTGGACGGTGACCAACCCCAGCACGTCTTATAGTCTCCTGCCATCGTGGTCGAACCCGGACATGGCCTTCATGGGTGGGTCAATTGGTTCAACAACACAATCACGGCCTTCTTTGCATGTGTTCACGCAAAAAGCATCCCCCTGGGCACAGCAAGACTCGGGAAGACTCCCACCGCTGGTGAAATCGGCAGACACGCCACGTGGGCCTTGCTCCAGTTCTTAAATACAAGTGGGCCTTGCGTGTTCGTGGAAGTCACTTTGGAGCTTGGGAAGTTTATAGAGTTCACCCTGACCTGGTGCAGAGGTCCAACAAAAAGAACTCTTGGCAAGAGTTTCAGGTCTCCAGGTCGGCGTTCCTTCTCCGATCTCAGTACAAAACCAGTTGCCCGCGCCCCCCCCCCTTCGGTGAAGTCGTCCTTCGTTTTGCTTGGTTTTCCAGAAGTCGGCTGGGGGAGAGCGACTCACCACTTCGTGGAAGAACCCGCAAGGATGCCTCAAGAGCGCGTGATGTCTATGTGGCGGAGCGCCGACAAGGCGCCGGGTTGGTCGACGGAGTCGGCGGGGCAGCTCGTGATGCCAAGTCCATCCGGGACGATGGGTGGACCAAGGGAAGTCCCATTCGGGGCGGGCGATATATCGCGATGATACCTAGAGGAACCGTTGGCAAAAATTTTTGCCGAGACACCATTGTGCCCTGATTTCAGCCAAATTCATCGAAAAGCGCCGAATCCAAAAAATAACGCCGAGCAATATGAAAACTGCCGACTTCAATGGTTTTCAGTTGCTAGATTCTCAAACCAACACTTGCCAGATCTTGCCAGTCTTACCAAGCCCTTCCCCGCCCCTTTCCCAAACCAAACTACAGGGTGACCATCCACAGCTTGGGCTTACATATGAGGACCAAGGGATTGGCATCCACAGTTTGGATACCTTGGAATCCTTGCACCGCACAGATGAGAGTTAATCCACAGTTTGGGAGTGCTTACAAAGAACACACTTAAAAGATCCAAAAATGTTTGCCTAAGTTCATGCCTTGTCTTCCAGACCTTCTTGATATTTCCCCTACGGTTTTATTGAAAGGCCAATCCAGGCAAGCAAAGTTCTGTCTTTGCTTCTCCGGATCACTCTCCAAACGATGCTTTGCCGCTTTGCCCTTTCATGATCCAACCTCCCTTGACAAGGGTGGTTGTAGAACAGCTGCAACTCACAATTGGGCCAACAAAAAGATCTTTCCAGTGCAGCCATCCAAGATGTTGATTCTTATGTATAGGAAACCCCAACTAAGCAAAAACATGGTTACGGACAATTGCGCCGAATTGTCGGGCAATTAAGCCGAATTATCGGAGATTTACGCCGAATTATCGGGCAATTACGCCGAGATCTAGGGATGACAAAACTTTTGAAAACTATGAACAACTTGACTGCCACGATTCACGCAAGGGTGCCCAGTTGGTTCACGGTGAGTTTATGTTGAATTATGCATGGTCCATGCACAGTCCTCTAACTTTCACCTTGGTGATGGAATCAAATCTCTCCATTCACCAAATATGTTCAACAACAGCTTTGTGCCACTGCAAAAATAGGAAATCAGGGAAGAGGGTTGCGTCGGGCCACAGAAACCATTTGGCATTTCTGCCAGGCCTTCTCTATTATTCTATAATTTTAATAAACGGTTTCCTTGATCGGATCCATGGCTGGATTTGAGTGTTTACAATGAATCCCTAAGCCAACAATGCTTGGCAAGAGTTAGGAACTACACACTGAAGAAAAACACTGGGCGTGAACAGCCAGGGCGCACCTCAAGAATGCCCGGTTCACCAGGTATTTGATCCCTAGAGGATTGTCGAGCCGAGTTATCATGAATCACCACAACCCGGATTGGTTCTGCATCTAATCAACCAATCAATATGTTCAAGAACCTCAAAAACCAAAAACGCCGAGTCTATCTTGGTTTTAGCAAATTACGCCGAATGCCCTTTTTCAGGGCAAATTACGGGTAAAGGCGCTTTTTGCTGAGGTGGCAGAAGTTTTGGTGCATTTGGAGTCTCTAGGTATCATGATGTTTCGGGTGAATTGGTGCGAAAGTGGTGTTTTTCGTTCTTGTTGGTTTGTGTTGGTTTTTACCCGTGAAATCAGGTTCATGACCACTACCGGGGGATGATTGGAATATTGGAAATACCATCATGAATCACGGTGTTGTAGCAACATGCTGTGTTCTCCTGATGTTTGTTGTGATTCATTTCAGCAGTTGATGGCTTTCGAATGTGGGACCCACCGGTGGTGATTCACGGCGCAAGGATGGCAGTGGCTCTATTGACTTCGAAGAATTCGTGGCGTCGGGGGGCCCAGTCGAGAACCAGCTTGGAGTCATGTCGACGGATGAATTGCATAACTAACCGAACCAACCCCTCCTTTTCAAGGTCAACAAGGTCAAGAAGTGTTGAGATTGGAGGTATTGGAGACCGGATCCCCCCGGTCCATTCGCACATCATAGCACCAATCCCACCAAGCCGAAGAAATCGGGTGACCGGGCAACCCGATCTCTTGTGCTTCTTCCAGATGCTCCCGTGACCGAGGCTTCGAAGGACAATGGGTCTTTTGATTAAAAATTACATATATCATATATGTATACTATACAAATACCCAGTGAAATCCGAGAGGTCGCGGAATCGCGACTCCACACCTCCCAGACTTGCATGATCTTGCATGGTCGCATCATTCACGGTCGGTCCTTTTCATTGGGCAAATCATCGCTGTCGCCACCTGCTTCTTCCTCGCGAGGAACGTCCGGGCGCGGGCGCGACGCGCGTCGCGCGTCATGGGCCGAGGTTTTATGTGAAGGTCTTCGGAGATACCTTCGAGACGGACTTCGATCCGGTGGCCGACTACTACCGCAGCATGCGGCGCATGCCGGGTGCTGGTGAGTGAGAGGTTGGAGAGTTATGCAGAGATTTAGTTGGAAGAAATCGATCCAAGAAATGGATAACACAGAGGTAACCTTTAAGTGATATATAAAAGCAGTTTTTTCAGCAGTAATTACATGCACGAGGAAGTAGATCATGAAAGATCCTTTTTGATTTGCGAAAAAGAACGTGAGAATGAGAATCTGAACGTATACTGTTCAATGGCTTCAGCACAGGAAGCCTTGCACTTGGCGGGCTTCCGAGTTGGCTGCGCACAGTGCCCCTCGCCAAAGGCGAGCCTTGTGCGCTGGGCCTTTCCGCTTGTGCTGGGCCGAACGCCATGCGCGTGGATTGGGCGCGCAGAGGAACAGATGGCTTGAGGAAAGGAGAGTGCATCCAAGACGCCATGACAACAGAAGGGTGGATTCTATGACAGTGATCCTTCTTAATTGGTTGAACTTCTTTGCTCCAAAAGGCTCTTGGTCAAGATTGAGATACTGAAGTGGATCTCATTTCTGCAGGAAGAAGGGTGACCTATGGTGCCCTCCTTTTGTTGGTTAGTTTGGTTCTTCTTTACTTTCCGGACACAGATTTTGTTTGAGGGGATTGTGATGAATTGTGGCTTGTATGGCACTGCACATTGTCTTGAGGATTTGTTTCTTCCAGGCAACGTTTGACTGAGAAAGCCAGATTACAGATGGTTCCAGGATGTTCCAGGCTTCTTTGCTAAGACATTGGCCACTGCTTTAGGAACTGTTGTGTCCATTCCTGTGCCAAACACATTCAAAGAATGGCGCGAATGTGGGTTTAGGGTCAGAAGTCGCTGCTCTCCTTTGTCCTCAGCAACCCTTTGACACCATGCTCGGCTTTGGTTCGGCAGTGTTTGAGGCCTTTCATCAGCATGTCGGATCCATGTGCTTCACAGAAAACCCTCGCTGCTATAACGACCACGCAAGCGCGGAAGCAGTCAGCTTCCGCTTGGGTTGGGAGAGAAGCGAAGATCCCAAAGAGCTTCGATTCAACAAGACTATCCGGACAGTGATGTGATGTGAGTGTTCTTCTATTCCTACCTTTGCTTTGGCTCTGCTGCCATCCGAGTAGTGGCATAAGATACAAGAGAAGTGCCAGAAACAGGCTTCAAAGAGGTTTTGGTGTGGGTGTGTTTGTGCGTTTCTTACACATTGCACAGGTTCTCGGGCCAATGTTACCTTCCATCCACCATCATGCAAGCTCATTGCAAACATGGCTGCTTTTTCAACTCGGGGAACCCTGGGTTTTGACCCACCGATCATGAACAGAGACGACCTGGAAGGTCAACTTAAACCCACACCCCCCCAGACTGACTATCTCCTCAGTCAAACTTTTATTTATATACTTTTACCAGATGGCCGGATGACTTTGTTGGGTCATGGAAGCAATTCCAGAAACGGAACACGGATGCGCTCTTCAGCCACTTTTGTTCGGAAGACGTGGTTTCTGCCCCTTTCATGGTCGGATGTTAAAACATGTTAAACTAGTGTCATGCAAGGTCAAATGATGTTCTTAATTCAACTAGGAGGCACCTGCCTACATCGATGAGGACTGCGAGTGTCCCACCGGTTTGAGGAACCAAAGCCGCAGCAGAACGGCAAGATTGGCTTGCAGCCAGACGTTGGTAAATCTTGGTCATACGGATACTTAGATGATACATTTATAGCAAGCAATTTCACCGCTGACCTTTGAAGATACCGTGGTTGCTTTGATTTGCTGGTCATCACTGGCAGCTCTCTACGAGGCCAACGATCTCAGAGAGCACGGCCGCCCCGCACGACGTGGCGATGCGGGTCGCTTTAGAGGCCAAGAACCCCCAAAGGGGTGGCATCGCCTCGTCCTGGGCAGAGTTTTGGGTTCGGGATCGTGAGATGCCTCAGTACAGATATTTAGATCTAGATACAGAAGGTGTAAAGAGACAGAATCATACATAGGTACAACATGGTACAAAGATCAAAGATTATAGAGAAATAGGTAGGCGATCGACTTCGGTCAGGTTAGGTGAAAATCCTTGACGATCTTGGATCAATGGTGGCGCTGCTAGAGGCGGCAGAATTCACATTTTTCAATTTGGGGATCGACATCATGATAGTCAAACTGGGAAGATCACTTTAAGATCTTCCAACAAGATGATCAAACCCAACAACTTATATTCAGACCAAGCAGCCATCCGGTTTTGTCTCCTTCAAGAAACTGGGGGCATTGGAATGAATATTCAGTGATGTAGATCCTTCGCAGGTCCACGTTGAGCCCTCTTCCTCAAGTGGAGCCAAGAGGGGCTCCCAACCAAAAACGCGCATGGAGGCGATGCGGAGTTCGATGCGGAGTTCGATGGTTGAACCCTCGACAGGTCCACTCGCCTCGACAGGTCCACTGGTCGACGTCATGAGGTCGTTTTTGACGTCATGGATCGTTTGCTCCATCGAATGTCCCTGAAAAAAGGACACAGAATGGATATGCACTGTCGGCTTAGTTCATGTGTGTTGCATTTCCAGTTAAAAACTCTGTCCAAAGCTGTCATAGACAGGACCCTGTTAAAGGTGGAATTTCCATCGGCTGAGTTCAGTTCAGCTGCAGCCCGGCCAACGGAACAAAATTAAATCTATGGATATGTTTGTTGCAGAAGAAGCTGTCTCTAGTGCCATCGGATCACCATTCTGACCATCATGCTGTAGCGCTTCCAATCAGAATCTGATTACCCAGCCAGCATACATTCACCAGGTCATGTTGCCGCGATGCTTCATTTGGTTCCAGAGACCAACGTGTTGGGGATTCTGAAAATAACTCAACATCAGAGTGAACCTCCCCATACCCACCATGTATATAGTTGCTCTGATGAATTCACTCCAATGACTGATCCCTGTTGACGCCAAAAGGAGTGATGGTCTATCCGAGTCTATCCCCCCATTTTATTTGGCTTGACCAACAGAGGCAGATGGAAGTGGGCTGACCTCCATGAGCCCACAATGTCTTTACTGCCTGATAGTTTACTTGGATGATGTCCGTGCAAAGCAAAGCGATCAAAGTATGCATCCTGCGAGCCTCCAAGCTACGAGAGTCTACGAGCTATTTGGAGGTCGAATCAGCTCTTGGAAGTGCTTGGCAGCTGCTTTGGTTTTGAGGTGGTAGAAGCAGTAGATTGACAGTGTTGTTTCTTCCCTGCGTTTGGGTGCCATCTCCAATTCCCAGAAAAGATCCGTCAGAAGTAAAAGTAGACAAAAACACGTTTGGACCATGGTGCACCAAACAATAAGTGGGAGACTGGCAGATTTTTGGACCGGATCGGAGGTTTGAACTAAACCAACCATGTCCATGCATACTTTGAACCCAACTGAACCAATCTAGCCCGTCTTGTTGTCAGTGGTGGTCACAGTGTTTGAGAGACAATTGAAAGTATGATCGGAACCTGGTCAAACACGAGCGCTCTTCTGAAGGGCAGTTCCACAAAGGGTCCATTGAAATGTCATGGGCAGCACAACGTATTCATGGAAGGTCGAAGATACATAGTGCGTAAAGACAACATGATATGATTGCCGGGCATGAATTCGCACACCCCATTAAGGTTGTGAATTCTGCAGCGCCACATCCACTTGTTTTCTATAGATTTTGTTGACTGTTGCTTGCAGCAGAGCTGGAGTACAAGAGCTTCGAACCTCTCGATGCTTGTATGTGTCTTATATCGGGCATGGAGCGCCCTCTTCAGGCTGTGATTCTCCATGCTGATGTTGTATACTGCGAGGATTTCCACTCGGATGCTTTGAAACCTCTGGCTTAACCGAATTAGGAACCAAGAAGAGCCACAGCATCAAATGGTATGAAGAAAAGCCAAGTCTTCAGTCCTCAGTTGGTGAAACCAGGGAGTATTATATCTGGTTTTACCATGTTCTACTTTGTTTCGAGCATTTGGTCAAGCGGCGAAGACCAATTTAAGACGACTCGACGTACGCTCATCGACGGACGCTGCGCTCCATGCTTCTTCCCGTCCGACAGCCCGGCAGCCGTCGTTGCGCAAAGCGTCTGAAAAGGCCGCACTCGGCGGAGTGCTCGCCATCAGCGATGGCAGTGGTGGTTTGGACATGTTTGAAATGGGGGGCCTTATGGGCCGCGGTGGGTGTTTGGGCGCTATGGAGTGAAGGATAGTGGAAGGACTTGACCAAAATCTCGGTGGTTTCAATGGTTTTTTTCTGCGAATGGTCTCACGAATGAACAGTATTAATTGGACATATTTGGACTCTTCATCCTTAGTTCTTGGACTCCATGTCCCCTTATGGAGTGGATCCGTTGTGCAAAACACATTTGGACTTGGGTTCTGCTTTCTGATGCTTCCAAAGAGGCTGAAACTGCAGAGATATGGACTCATGTTACACCTGTTATCTCAAGTATCTCAAGACGGCATTCCTTCTTTTCCAAACGGAATTGTTTGGACCACCAACATAGCTCAAGGAGCACCTCAAGTATCTCTTAATTCTGCATTCCTATAGCAGAATTGTTTGGCCTCGCTATTTCTGGGCTCAAAGCTGACCGTGTGCCAATTTTCCCTCCTGCGCACGATCCCGCCGCTCCAACGAGCCCGGCTCGTCCGCGTTCTTCGCGCCGACCCGTCCGTCGCAGCGCCCCGGAGAGAGTGGCCGGCCACTTCCGACGAGAGAGGCATGGCTGGGGGGTGGGAAAGAGGTCTTTCATTCAGATGGCAGTTCAGATGGCTATCGGATAGAGAAGGATGTGTCCAGCTTTCGGATGTTTTTAAAGTCTACAGAGTCTTACTGTCTACAGTACCTCCTCGGCTCCAACAAGCATGGAAGTGGGACAATCCCCGGCCTTCGGATGCATGGCGCCACGGCCATTCTGATCGGCCATGCATGTCGGACGGTTCACGTGCCACGGAGCGAGTCCGTGGGCGACATGATGACGGACCGATGGATGTGGGGTCTTGGCACCGGGGCACCCTGGGTTGACCAGAGAACATGAACAGCATGGACAAAATAACAAACGAGT